ATGGAGATTTCGGCGTCTCTTCTTGAATGTTGTAATGATGGTGATTGCATGTTTATAATTAAATCATTGAGTTTCTCAGAAACTTTAAGTAAATGAATATTAGGAATTTTTGAGACTGGTATTTTCTTCAAGTCTTTTGCTGGAGTACGGACATTGCAAACTGCATGCGTAGCTTCAGCCAGTACTGACATGGACATTTGTTCTAAAAATTGTTGCAAACGAGTTTCTTTCAAGTCACGAAGAATTGGTTCAGGCCAAGATGGACGAATGGAGAATTGCATCCCGGTATTTTCTTGTTCAATATCAATGTTTTCATGTATCTGTTTTTCAAGTTTCTTTTTAACTCTATTCGTTTGATTTCGTTTTCTTTGCTGCTCGAGTCGAATCCGACGCTTTTCTTCTAATTCATTTGTTCGACTGGCTTGGGTTCGTTCCTTGTTTTTTTCAAGTCGAACTCGATGCTGTTCTTCTGATTCATTTGTTCGACTGGATCGAGTTCGTTCCTTCTTCTTCTCCTCGAGTCGAATCTGATGCTGTTCTTCTATTTCATTCATTCGACGCGATCGACTTCGTTCTCTATCATTTTCGAGTCGAATCTGTCGTTGTTTTTCTGTTTCATTTATTCGACTCGATCCACTTTGTTCTCTTTTCTTCTCAAGTCGATTTTGACGTTGTTCTTTTTTGTCATTCTTTTCCTTGTCCATTGAATCTGCAATAATTGGTTGAGTGAAGTTATTCCCGATGTTGTCTTCAGTTCGTAAACGTCTACTAATTAGGAGAAGACTGGAATACAGGAGTTCTTATTTGACTAACAGTATTATTCTTAAATGTATTTTTTTCAGGAGTCTAAATAAATTTCAAAGTTGTCGAATTTTTATTTACAAATGAATAACTTACAACAGGCAGTGACGTTGATTAATTACCATTGTTAGAATCATTATGAATAGCTGATGAAATGAGTGGAACAAAATGATTTGGACTCCATGTACCATTATTTGCCTCTCGAGCATCTTTTTCATTCAAGGCATGTGACCACATAATTACAATGTTACAGTTAGCAATAATAGGTGAAACAGGCGTAAAGACGTTATCCCAAGTTGCCATATATTGTTGAAAATCAATTTTTGGATATACACTTCGTATA